AAAATGGGTCGGCCTTGGTGCCTTAGACCCATTGGTATGGTGAGAAAACTCACCTTGAATGCAGAAGCTTCCTAAAAGAAATCCCTAGCTGTTTCCCTGTCCCCTTCCTGAACTATCAATACCGATCAATATACCCAATTAGCAAGTGGTCCCCAATACCATAATCCTTAATCCATGCACGGGGTAAAATGACCATTCTACCCCTAGCCCAGTATGATCCGAACTAAGGCCAAATCCCCAAAACAAAAGCCTAACACTAGGTAGGCTTTCCAAGACCACTAGTGGTCCACTAATGGCCGAAATTGCTAAATTGGTCCCAGTTCCCTCTAATGGGTCTTACCTTAAGCCTAAACATATTCCTGGCCCACAACATTTGACTACTGATGGTCCACAAAGTCCCAAAGGCCCAAATTCCACTACCTGGCCCAACCCGAGGCCCAAAACATTCCAAGCCCATAATGAATGAGTACAAAGCGTACTGGATAAAGGTGGTGTACGTTGTGCTTACCTGCATGTACGCCCAACGTACTCCTCTGTTAAGCTACTTTTCCGTTAAGTGCTTAATACTCCATTCCAGCGACTACAATTACAGATCCAAGTCCTCTTCGACATCTTAATCCATAAAGTTGATTACTTGGTGGCTTGCAATCCACCAAATGAGCCCAAACTTGAAATGTGACAACAAACTTCCATGAAAAGGGGCTAGATCTCATGCATGGACACAAATAAGCCCTAAAGATTGAAACTTTACTGCTTATGTAACTCATATGATACTAAGGGTGGAAACCCTGGACTTAGAAACGTGCTTGAGTCATAAAGATCCATTCTTAGAACCAAAAGAGTCCATAAACTCATCGTAAGAGAGATCTAATAGACTAATCATGAAGCTCATGACTTTATACCTTGAAAAGGTCTGAAGTGAAGCAGAAATCCCATATCTGAAACTTCTCTTTTGCACTAAGACCTTGCCTTGACATTTGCTTCCTTGAAGGGTGGATCCAAAACACCAAAATGCTCTCACAAAGCCTTCCAAGCTCCAAGAACACTCAAAGAAGATTAGGTTTTCGTGAAAACTATCTAAGGTGAGAAGGAGGCTGGCCTTTGAGGGTATAATGTTCTTTATATATTGGCACACCCTAAAAATTAGGGTTTAGGGACTCTGAGCGTACGATGGGCGTACTTCTCGTATGTTGGGCGTACGCCTCCAACACCCGCGACCACTTATCCCCTCTACGTTGGGCGTACTCTTAAGTTGGCCACCTTGCATGCATGGGATCTCCTTGCCACTTTTCTCTACTAAGGACCAATAATGCCAGTATCTTCAAAGTACTATAACTTCTTCAATCTAAGTTCGTTTCCTACGAACTTCATATCCAAAAAAAGGTGATGAGAAACCCTATACTCCCAGCTCCACACCTGAGCCCTACAACCCTCCGAATAAGACTCGAGACCCATAAAAGGACAAATCGGCAGATTAAGCTTATGCCCTTGGCCTCTGAAGTCGCAAACGAGCACCTTCTAAACCAGGTGTTATAGAAAATATGGTTGATCCTTTGACAAAAGGCCTTAGTAGAGAGAAAGTTCTCTTCACATCGAGAGGAATTGGCTTAAATCCAACACAATGAGTCACCCCTTCGCGGAAACCTAACCTGGCAACATTGGAGATCCTATGGTATAGGTTTAATAGGTCAACTAGTTGGGGAAGACTCAAAGTAGCACTAACACAAAGGTATGTTGACTCCTATAATATTTATTTGTGTTTTCCGTTGATGATATATGGATGAATCTTTATTCTTAATAATGTTGATAACTTTTATAGTAGAATAGTATGGGTTGTTCCAAATTAGCATTATCTATGTGAGATGAATGTGAAGTCGCATATTTGGGAGTTGATATTGGTAAGCTCTATAAAAGTTTCATGAAGAAAGGATTGTTCACGGGCGAAATGAACACAACGATAAGAATCAACCTATGTTCAGATATGATATGTGTGATACCTCTTGTTTTGGTTCTACTATTAACAGTGGTTAGTTCAAGACTCTAGTTCACTAGCCACAAAGTAGATCCAAGTAGTATTCAATATGAAATGTTCAGGTTTCTAAACATATTTTCAGATGCATGACAGTTTTTCTCTCATTGATTTGAATGTATCAAAGTTCTCTTATTTTCTATTCAAATTTGGGATATTATTGGAAGTTTGAATATAAAATATGGGGTATTGTTGGAAGTTTGTTTATGAGAAATAGTTATGTGGGACTTGTCCCACATGGGAAGGGGAACAAAATTCAAGATATTTTTTAAAGGTTTCATCTGCTTTACTTAACAAATGGGTTCAAGTGTTACATAAAGCATTTTGGGTCAGTTGTGTGGTGTTGGGCTAGTGTTTGGGCTAGTAACTAGAGAATTATGTATATATATATATATATATATAATTTTTTCTTTTATTTTAATTTTCGAGATTACATGTCATTTAACAGGTTTATGGCAGTTATTCCCTGTAGCAGTTTTTGATAGTTAAAATCGGCTGGTAGGTACCAACTGTCAATCTGGAAAAACTATAAATACCATGTATGTGATAGGTTTTACTATACTACAACATCCTATGGTGCACATACAACCCTAAATGCTTTGGATCTATGTTTTCTCTAATTATACATGCAATATTGTTTCCAAAGCAATAAGCCTACAACTAACATGGAAATGACATAATCAACATAAGATTGAGTTATGGAGTTATCGCTTTGTTGTAGCTTATGGAACTTCTTGAGTTTGGCCTTTAAGAACTTAGTGCCCCAAGTGTTTCACCTCATATGGAATCACAACACATCTAGAACAAATGAGACTTTTGAGAGAGTATTTCTTGCACGAAAATCGGCTCAATGATCTCCAAGAACACTAGTGTGTCTAGTCGCCAATTTTAGATGCAAGGGGGCTTCTTATATAGTGTGGCAAGATTAGGGTTACACCATGTAAACCCTAATGTGTATGACCTTCCATATTCCTTAGGCTCCATGGGTGGTAACATTGGTTTAGCCCAACCTAAAGAATCATGGATCATTGGCCCACACCATAAGAATGAACGATTTACCAATAAATCCCCTTACATTTAATTAGTCTCTTTTGATCACTAAATTAATTCCAAATTAATTCTTGATCAATACTAATTAAATAATATGATTTCATGTTAATATATTAAAACTTATAAGATATTAAGAAATCATAAATAACCTCTTCTCAAAATTATATCCTATCAAATTGTCCTGGTGATATGCAACCTAAATGGACCATGCTATTCTCGGGTCAAGTACATACCAATTATAATTATGGGCTTAGACACCTAATCCAACAGTATGTTCCAAATTTCAAGAGAAAAAATGATACATCTTTCCCACTCTCTTAAATCTCGTTTTTCTCACATGCTCATGGAGACATTACAATTGATTCGACAGATTCAAGATTTGATCATGAATAGATTGTTGTATCATCAAGGCAGATCCATATCCAAAAGAGTTTTGTCTTAGGACACTGCTTGCAGGCGTCAATCTATACATTTTCATGAATATATTTTCTATGTAATCCGCATCAAGTATGTTTCTGTAAACTGGTTCTTGTATAATACATACAATTCAATTTTGTTTGTATTATTTCTATTGTTTTTTTGTTGATTGTATACTTCTGTCACAACAGTTTGGGATTATGGAGATGACAAATCGCCCGGTCTAGATGGTATCTCTTTCGGACTTGTTAAAGAATATTGGAAAGATGTAAAGCAAGAGGTGATCAAGGTTGACCATGAATTTAGGACTCAACTTTTTTTACTAATGAATGTAATGCATGTTTTCTTACTTTGATTCCGAAAGTGATATCCCTACAATGTTAAAATATTATAGACCAATAAGTTTAACTAGTTTATAACACTACTAGAAAAACAGTCTTTTACGACGCTCATTGCGCGTCGTAAATGGCTCAGACGGCGTGCAAATGCGCGTCAAGGAAGGCCTTGTCATAAAGAGAGACGACGCGCATTTACGACACTCATTTACGACGCGCAGTTACGATGCGCCTTTACGACACGCAATGCGTATCAAGGAAGGCCCTGTCATAAAGGAAGACAACATACATTCGCGTGTCGTAACCTTACGACACGCGTGTTAATGACACGCAATGCGTATCAAGAAAGCCCCTGTCAAGAAAGGCCATGTCATAAATGAAGATGACACACATTTTTGCGTATCATAATTTTAAATGTTTAAAAAAATATATTTGTTTATAGATTTACTAATTTTCAAATTAAATTTGGATTTAATGCATCATAATAGAAAATAAAATATCATATACAAAATATATAATCCATTTCATAAAATTTAATGTCATACAAAAATAGAATCCATTGCATAATATTTTATTACAAATTTAACATTTTTTTGTTTCCGTACTTTGACTATTTGTGCTGCTGCTGATTCTGGAGCCAATCCACGACTGCATTCCAGAGCTGATTCAGTGGAAAGAGCATCCCAGACTCCATCACTTGAAATTACAAGCCACCCACAAGCAGAAGATAGTTGAAGATCATGAATAAATAAAAGTTGTTAATAAAAAGAGGAATAAATTGAGTTTAATTACTAAACACCAACATTCAAACCAATTAATGAAAGTTAAAGCATCTAAATAATATAGCATGGGATGCAAATATATCATGCATCGTACAAACAATGAAGATTTTTAGTTTCTGGAAGATTATTGACATCATTGGGATTAAGAGTTTTCTTTGCTTATCCACTGCACCTCATATGTTTCCATCACATTTGAAGGATTATAATGCTACATAGCTCTATTAAAGATGTTGCAATATCTCTCTATTGTTATGCATGAAATCAAGACATATGATCTTCTAATACTAGAAAACAAGAGCTATTCGGAATAATAAAGCTACATACCTGAGTTTGCTAGAGGTATCGCAAGGTGCTGCCGACTCAAAACCAAGCTACCTTAGGCACTTATCAAGGACTGAACTGAGGATGCACATCTGATAGAAAAAAGATAAAAGTATAATTACAAGGATTAATAAAAGCTATTCGAAATAATAATAAAAAGTCAAACCTTTAGTGCCTTCCAAGTGGTTGATTTGAGACTGCAATTTTTTGCATCCATTGTTGTCATGACCTTCATACATGGGGCCCAATGCAGAAACAACATCGTGTGGACGAAGGGAATTGGAGATTTGACTAGTCAAACAATCATCCATGAGTTCTTTCACTAAGCCTACGTCTTTGCTGCATTGATTTAGATTGGAAGTTGATGAGGTGAACAAAGTTATGTTAAAGATTTGACATTAAAATAGAAAACTTGGGAAGAATTTATCACATGTGGAAAGGTCTCAAATAACTATTCAAATCTAAACTTTCAGATGCATATATAAACTTTAAGTTACAAAAAGGGTCCATGTGCTTTCTGATTTTATAGTGTTTAGTCTAAATTTGACAACTTTTTCAACTTCAGTCCTTATATTTCAAGCTCTCATATTGATTTTGGTTCTTAAAACCTTGAAATAAGGACCAAAATCGATATGAAAACTTGAGATAAGGATCGAAACTGAAAAAGAATTTAATTTTGGACTAAACGTGATCAAAACAGGAGGCATAGGGACCATTTTTTTTAATTTACAATAAAATCAAATTACTGGTTATCTCTGGAAGATTTATGCGAAGATGATTGAGCTAGGATATGTATTTAGGGATTCAAAAGTGCATAACAAACAAGAAACTTACAAAGTTATTGCAAACATTGCATTTTGGGTGAGGATGTTCTTTATAGCATGATTTGTGGAACGGACGGTTGTCAGACATGGAAAACTACATAGATGATAAAGGGTAAAAAGGTAAAATTTTCAAGAAACAAGAAATGTTGTGATTTTCATAGACTTCTGAATCCAAATCCAACATCTTTTTTTTGTCTTTAAATTATAAACCTTATGGTGTCGATTTAGAAGGAATATAGGAACACCTTGTTAAAGAATTGGAGTAGAGTTGGACCTCATAATCAGATATTGGAATATTGCAAGCATGACAACGGAAACATTCTGGATGCCAAACGCCTCCCATGCAGCTTAAAAACCTCCCATGACCAATTTCACCATTGCAACCTGCACATATCCTACATTCCACACGTTTTAGATGGATTGCAAAGGGTAATATTGGAAGAAAAAATAAGTATTAAAAAAGACTACCTATATACACTTGGAAAGAAACTTGGCAAACGAGGAAACATGCTTCCATGGTTATTTCGTGGTGGTGAGTTCATGTTAATGTTCAAGCTTTCTTGTATAGCCATGGCAAGCTGCTCATCTTCCTCCAAATCAGGATCTTCATCTAATAAGATGGAGGTATTACTTAAGTAAGTATATGACAAATGAAATCATGGAGAATTTCTCAATTTCAACCTACCAATTACTTTTTTTCCTTTACTTCTGTTGAATATGTAATGGGTGATATTCGCAGTTGTACCTGTACCTTGTTCACCAAGGAAAAACAGAAGAGCTAGGGGAGAACAAAAGAGGGATTAGAACAGCAGAAACAAGAAAAAACAGAGGAACAATATTGGTTGGTGCTATAGATAACTTAACTGAATAAAACTTGGTTCTTAACATATTAAAACGACAACGGTTACATCTATATATGCTAAATAAGATAGCATCCAAATATAACTTGAGGGGCAGACACAAGAATTTTCAACAATAGTGGCACCAAAGCCTGTAACAACAAAAAAGATAACATCAAGGCTTATCTAAAAGAAAACCAAATAAGATCAATACACTTTAATAGCAACATGATAGAAGCATATGGCAGTAGAACTAATCAGGTTATGTATAAAACTAGATACATTATAGATTATACATAGATATAAATATAGGAAAATAATTTACATACCTGAACAACATCATTCCTTTGCTTCCTACGTTTTTGAGAGGCCTGAACTTGCAACTGGAGTTCCCTTATTGCATTAAGTATTTCTACAAAGAATTTCCTCTTCCTCGTTTCTACTATATTCTTTTCTTCCTCCTCTAATTTTGTTAGTCTGTGCAGCAAATGATGTTAAAAGAAGAATAAGTATTAAACTAATAACTTCTTTTTCCAAAAGCATACAAAGAAAATTCATAAACTTTTATCAACTAGTCAAAGAAAATATGTAGCTTTTCATTCCATCTCATAATGAACCACACACAGGTCAAAAGCTACAAGGCAGCTCACATAGACAAATAGAAAAGTAGAATTCAACTAGAGAGAATTGCACTGAGATTATTACAACTGAGCACACCATGATTAGCCCTAAGCTGCAATTACACTAAAACAAAATAACCTACTGGTCGAACCAAAACAGGGCAAAAAATTCAAGTAAAAAGATCAACAAGAACTCAAAATTGAAGTAAGGGAAGAATTATAAAGAAGCCTACAACCTAAACCTGTACAATTTTCCAATCAACAAGAGTAAATTCGCAAACCGACCCAAGTTCAAGCATCGATTTCAATCAAAAACATAAATAATTAGCCCTATTCTGCCAATTAAACAATAAATCATCCTAACAAAACAATAAAATCCAAGAAGCAGTTATAATAAGAGAAACAAAACCACGAAAGAATTACAGAAGATAACTTGCAGGCGATGAAGCATCATCAACCTAAACCTGTACTACCAGCCTCTTCGTCCATTGGTTGATCGATCTTCTGCTCCAAAGCCCATATGTCACCATTGTTTTCGATCTCTTCTGTCAGATCCATTTCAATTCTCTAACCCAAGATTGAAGCAACACCAACAAAGAAATCGATGGACTTGAACACCCAAGATCTCATAGTTCTTTGTGTTGTTGGCCTCCATAGTTGACTGAAGATGGTGAAGATTTTTCCCTAATTCGTCGGTATGAGAGGAAGAAGAAGAAACATATAGTGTTAACAGATCCAAATACAAAAAGGTACCGAGTGTGGATGGAGAAAAGGTAGATGAACGATGGTAAGCACAACATACCTTTATATAACCATAAGAGGAGAATCGAACCCGTCAATCGGATGTTGGGCTTGTAAGGAGAAGCGATTTTCGACCGGTGGGAAAGGGGGATTCGAACCTTTGTTTGTGGTGGTGTTGGTGGTCCGATGTAAATGGGGTGTTGGGGCCCTGAATCTTGAAGAGTTAATACTTGGGTGGCCTTTTTTCTCAAGAACAACATAGATGAAGTAGGTGAAATCACAGCAGAGATGAAGCAGATAATGGAAATCAGAAGCCTTTTTTCTTCATTGAGATGATGAAGTCGAGAGATGGAGATGAAATCGTAAGCTTGAAATAGGTTGCACAACAGTGTGAGGAGAATGAAAGATGCGTCAAAACGCTTAGGTCAAAGAGGTAGCGGGCTTTTCTAATTTTTTCGGCTTTTCTTTTCCCGCTTGTAACTAAAGAACGCGCGTTCATAAAAATTATAAAGCGACACCTACAGAGGGCGCGCATTTAAGATATAGCGCCCTCTGTGTTTTTAATTTTTTTATTCTGACAATAATTTAAGGGCGCGCAGTAATGCGTGACCTAAATCCTTAAATTTTCTGAATAGATGACACGTTTTTAATGTAATTCTCGGTTGCGTAACATAAATTAATGAGTGTCATTGTTTGCGCGTCGTAAAAGGCTATTTTTCTAGTAGTGTAATACAAAATAATGGTTCCATTATTGGCGAATAGTTGGCCAATGTGGTGGATAGAATTGTTAATGTCGAGCAAACGGCTTTTATAAAAGGTTGTCAAATTTGGATGGTCCAGTAGTGATTAATAAGGCTATTAACATTGATAAATAATACAATAAAGGCATTATTTTTTAATACTAATTAAAAAAAGTGTATGTCACGCTCGGTTTGTGCTATACCTTTTACCAACTTTTGTCAGTTATGGGATTTGGTCTGAAATGGTCCAAATGAATCTATGCATGTCTTAACCCAACCATGGATTCAATGCTTATAAATAGAAGTCCTATTACATACTTCACTATGGAGCAAGGTTTGTGACAAGGAGATCCGTTATTCCCATTTTTATTTTACTGATAGAAGCTTACATGTGGATTTAGAGGAAGCAATTCAGGTGGTCTTTTCCATGGTGTTCCGATTAGGGAAAGGTTTGTCGATGTCACATTTTTTTTAGATGGATGATGCCTTTATAATTGAGTATTGGTATTGTGAAAATATTCAAAATCTAGTTTGTGTGATGCACTATTTCTAATTAGCTTATGGTGTCAAGATAAATCTTCAATAGTCTACTTTGTTTAGTGGGAGTGAGGTTTGTTGAGGTTGACGAGTTTGCTCACATGACGAGTTGTGGCATGCATAAATCTCCCTTTAAGTGTCTTGGTATTCATATTAGTAAAAACATGGCACATGGAAAAGCTTCGGATATTATTGTGAATAATTTTAATTCGAGATTGGATAAATTGAATATAAATGTTCTTTCGATTGGCGGTATGTTGTTTCTTTTAAAATCGGTGCCTAATTACCTTAGAATCTATTTTTTCTATTTTTAAAATGTCGAAAAAAGATCAATAAAACCTTATAATCGATTAAATAAAAAATGAGGAAAATGTTGAAAGTGATATACAAGGTATTTGGGTTAATTGTGAGGTTCAAGTTAAGATTGCATAAATAGAATACAAATGTTCTTTTGATTGATGGCATGTTGTTTCTTTTAAAGTCAGTGTTCGGTTACCTTAGCATCTATTTTTTTCTACTTTAAAATGCCAGAAAATATCAAAAATGCCTTATAATAGATTAAATAAAAAAAATGAGGGAGAGGATGAAAGTGATATAAAAGTTATTTGGGTTAATTTGGAGGTCATGATGCTTCCAATGTTAAAACATAAAATAATAGTTATAAATATTTTAAAATTGTCATAAAAATATGTATGATATTATTTTACAAAAGAAAATCATCAATGTTTTTAAAAAAACAAAGATGATTCAAATATTCTAAATCATCTAACTATGCATACAAAAATGACCCTCATACCACTTATTAAGATTTATTCAAAAACAGGTTTCTAAAAGCACTAAAAACGGCAACGAAAGCTTTAAATTTTTGAATAAACATAAAACTATTTTATTCCACCGATTTTAAAAGGAAAGATTAACACAACCATAGAAATATATATATATATATATATATATATATATATATATATATATATATATATATATATATATATATATATATATATAACCTTTAAAGTTTTTTATTCCTTTTGGGAGCTTAGAAGTTGATAGAGTCATGTCAATAATTAAAAAAAAAAACATCTAGAAGTATCCGTCAATAATAATCAAATAAACTAGAATGATTGTTCTTTTTGTATAAAAGAATGATTTGGTTCCAAAACATATTTGAACATTATAAAAATGTAACTAGTTCCATTGTTTAAGCATCACCCACACAAATTAATCGGGTACACCTTCATATTGATAATTCTAAAATTGTTCATTCTGGATAGTTCTTCTGATTCTCAACAAAGGTAATATGCTAGATAAAGTTTAATGTGTTGTGTAAAGTTGTTTACACCATGTACATGTAAACTTGTTTACACCATCTACGAGTTTCAGTAAGGCATAATAAAATTCTAACAATAAAAATACAAAAAAATCAGAACCTTATAATATTATAAGTTCTAGAGTTGTTTTAAGGATTCCAGAACTGTTCTTCGCATTTCAGATAACAAATATGACAATTATTAAAATCATTATAAGAAATCACACGAAAACTAACATTGTATGTCGAATCCATGCTTATCTTCGAAGGGTGGAGTTTGATTTGTTTTTAAAGTTTCCGAAACACGTTTTAGTTGGAGGTGAATCCCATGTATATATGAAGGGACCAAACAAATGAGTTTTGACACATTTTATTTAGTTAATCCGACTAAAATTGTGTCCAGAATGTCCATTACTAAAAAGTAGATTATTTTTTTCTTCTAAGTTTTATTTTTTTCTTAAGGATTGATGTCGTAAAAATGGCAACAAATCGTATACAATTTGTTCTTTAGGTCTCTTTTCTTTTCGTTGTATATAGTAAGCCACTAAAGTTTTTTTTGGTACTCATTACACCATTGAGACGGATTTCACTTGACTAAATCGATATTTGATCATATGTGACGTCGACTATAACATTTAATATGACATTTTTTTCATTTAGGTTTGTCTAAGCTAACATTGTGTCTACTGCAACTTCCCATATAATATAGTTGGTCGATTAAAATGTATTCTAATAATTAATAAGAACTCATAAGAATGAAAAAAAAAATCATAAGAAAATTTATAAGGGAAATGCCATAACAACCATTAAGTTTGCAAGTTTTTGTCGGTTTTCCCTAAAGTTGGATTTTAGGATCATTAATGCCACATTTTTTCTTTAATTTGTTAGTTTATACCTTTTCACCATTTTCTCTTAAGTTATTCGATTACCAAGCTTTGTCGGAAGATACGTGGCTAGCTCATTAATCCTACATGGATGCAAAGATTCAAACACATATCCTTCTCCATTATAACCCTTCAACCCCGGGAGTTAGTCGCACAACTTCTCCCTTCTCCAACAATAAAATGACAACTTCCTCTGCAATATCAAACTTCAATACTGGTTCAATATGGAGGAACAATAAGGTAATCACATGTGGTTGTGGTAATACGTATCGTATATCAGTCTCATAAACCCCCTGATAACCTACGACGAAATTTTTGGGGCTGCCCTAATTATCAGGTAAAAACCTCTATATTTTTTTATTTCAGACCACCCTAAGTTTCCAGGGAGGAACATATGTAATTTATCCCATAATTTTTGTGTGTTGTATATGGAATGAGCCACCTATGGTTTTTTCAAATGGGTGGATGAAGAACTAGGTAGAGAAAGGGAGATGTCTTACACAAAGCAGATCTAGCCATTCTTAGAAGTGATCATAGTGTTGTTAGTGGTTATATTGTTGATGGTAGCAATAATGGATATTAAGATGTAATTTTGTTGGTTTCGCAATCTGTTTATGGTAATGTATAAAGGGTAATCAAGACCTTTTTCATGTATTAGAAATGTATTAAGGGTAATCAAGAGTTTTTACATCTTTGTAATATATTAATGGTAAGGATATTAAAGGTAATCAATTACTATTTCATGTCTATGTTGCACTTATTTTCTAGACAATGTTATTTACTTGTTAATGGTATGGGTATTAAGGGTGAAGTACATTTGGTTACATTCACAATGAAAGTAGACTTTGCAGTAATGGAATATAAGGATAACTTGCAAAAAAAATATTGCACGCATGAAAGTACATTGCTAATTCTTACACACTAATGAAATGTAAGGGTAAATTGGTCACATTCATAATGTAAGACTATGCCTAAATTGCACTAATGAAAGTACATTGCTAATGGTTATCACCAAAGTGCCTTTGTGATCTAGAAAAAAAAACACCATACCATTGAAAGATCTAGTATGCTCAAGATTCATATTAAAATGATATTTCTAAATAACATATGATCCTAAGGGTCACACTAATAACAACTTGAAATATATCATGTACATCTTTTTGGACCTAATAAGCGTTTTGTCTTTTAGCAAAAGACAAAGTTTAAATCTTATAAACTTTGAGTTTATAAAATATAAACTCTTGACTGGTCTTTTCTTCTTGGAAACGTGATATGAAGAGAAAAGACAAGAAGTATGGCCTTTGCATTGGTTTAATGAAAAAGAATCAAACCTAGGGAGATATGTTCATGACATAGGGGCCAAGTTGTCTAAAGTACTTAATGGTTGAGGACTCATGGACCATCATTCTATTATAAATAAGTTGAGAGTTCTTTCATTTTGATTACTCCTTGCTTTGGCCGAGAGCACTTATCCCCTCTCCATCTGCTCTCTAAAGTCTTGAGCTTTGAAGATTTCTTGTTGCTTGCATTCTCTCTTTAAGTCTTAATCTTGTTTTGACTTAAATCTTAAGAGTTGTAACTAGCATTACATCAATTTGGAACATTTTTGGTATCTCAAGGGTTCATCCTCACTCCATCAGCTTCCAAGCCTCCACTAGAGGACTCAAAGTGCTTCAAAGGTTGATATCACTTCTTCCTTCTATGGTTGTGTTATAAATCTTTCTATTACTTTCAAGATGAACCTTGGTGGGTGATAAAATGTTTATGTTATTTATAAAACTCAAGTCTTCCGT